CAAATTCCTAAAAATATACACTCTTCTAAGAATGACTCAGGAAGAAACCAAAATCTGAACAGATCGATTGCCAGTAATGAAATTCACTTGGTGATAAAGAAAATCCCAACAAACAAAAGTCCAGGTACAGATGACTTCACAGGTAAATTCTACCAAACATTTAATGAAGAGCTAATACTCATCCTTCTTAAAGTATTCCAAACCTCTAAGACAGGGGAATGATATCAAATTCATTCTATGAGGCCAGCATTACTCTAAGCCCAACACCAGTCAAGTAGGTGGTAAAAAAAGAAATCTACAGATCAACATCCCAGATGAATATAGATTCAAAAAACCTCAACAAAATATTAGCAAAACAAATTTCAAAATACATCAAAAGGATGATCTATCACAACCAAGTGGGATTTATTCCAATGTCCTATTTAATATTTAACCATTCTACTTGGATATCTAATAAGAATCTCAAATTTACCATGACCAAAGTTGAGTTTTGCATCTACAACCCCTGCACCATCCTAAGCACAAACTTTCTCCTGCTGTCTTGTCTGTTTCATCAAATAGCAACTCCTTCCTTGTGCTCAGGCTCCAAACACTGATGTTATCATTGAATATTCTTGTTCTCTCATATCCCATCTCAAATCCATCATCAAATTCTGCTTGCATTACTTTCAAAACAAAACCAGAATCTGACTGCTTGTTCCCATGTCCCCTGCTACCACCCTACTCTGTGCCACCACCATCTCTTAGTCAGATCATTTCAGTAGCCCACCTGACTGTTCTCCCTGCATTCTCCTTCCTCCTCCTGCAGTCTAATAATAGCACAATACCTGCAAATCAATCACTGTGAAATACCACATTAACAAAAAGGATAAAAACCATATGATTATATGCTATAAAAGCATTTCACAAAATTCAACATCTATTCATGATAAAAACTCTAAACAAAGTGGGTATAGAGGGAAGATAACTCAACATAATAAAGGCCATATATGACAATCCCATAGCAAACATCATACTCAAAGGTGAAATACTGAAACTATTTCCTCTCAGCTCAGGAACAAGACAAGGATACCCACTCTCACCACTGTTATTCAGCATAGTACTGGAAGTCCTAGCCACAGAAATCAGACAATAAGAAGAGATAAAAGGCATTCAAATAGGTAAGGAAGAACTAAAACTGGCACCATTTGCAGGTGACATGATACTATATATAGGAAACCCTAATGAGTCCAACAAAAAAACTATTAAAAACAATAACTGGATTCAGCAAATTTGGAGGATAAAAAATCAATACACAGGCTCAAGAGGGCAGCATGAGTAGGGCAGCAGAAATCTCCTCCCAAACCATATATGTTTTGATAATACAGTAAATACAACTATTCCTGAAAGAGAGACAAGAAGATACACTACAACAACCAGGCTACATGTATATCTAGGAAAACTGAGCATCTCACAAAAAGGGTAAGATACAAATCCATGACCCAGTGGGACCCAAGCACTCCCCCATCCCCAGCTCACTGGCGGGAGGAAAAGAATCAGAGTGAGGAGGAAGTAGAAGCACTAGACTGCTAAATAATGAGCCCTAGTAATCTTCACCAGAAGCACAGGCATACATCACATGGTGTACTGGATATTGGAGAAATGGAAAAGTAAAATCTGAGATGGAGACTGTGAGCAGGTCTCCACAGCCGGCACCCCTGGGACAAAAGAAAAGCAGGTGCTTTAAAACTCTTAAAGGGACAAGGGTGGACAAAATCGTCCCAGCACACTCAGCCCAGCAGGCTGGGAATCTTAAGGAACTTCAGGGGCCCAAAACCCCTGGGTGGCAACGCAGCACTGAGGTCCCTAACAGCAATAAGGAGCCTGCCATTCATTTCACCCCTCCAGCACTGCAAGCAAACCAGATGACCCACCATTGCTGTGGACCAGCCAGGGAGCAGCCCCACCCACAGCAAACAGAGACTTCTCTGAGCACACAGCTGACTGGGCCAGACCCAGAGGCTACCCCCTGCATGCAGCTGCCCGGCATGGACAGAGGAAGCCAGTGCAAAGTCCAGAAGGCATGAAGGGGCGCCATTCTCACAGGAAAACACATGCCACACACCTGCGACCCCCAGCAGTGCCGTAGACCATTCCAAGGGCCGCACTGCCCATGGCAGCTCAGGGGATTAACCCAGAAACAGCTCTCTGTGTACAGGTAACTGGCACAGGCAGCAGAGAAGGGCAAGGTGAACAGCAAGCAGGAAGGAATTTTGTTCTCCCAGCTGACACATGTGCCACTTGCCAGCAATCATTTCTATCACCATGAAAAGGCAGAAGAACCTGGTCCAGTCTCAAATCACTCAAATGCCAGAGAGAGGGCCTGGCAAGATAGATATAACCAATCTTCCTGAAAAAGAATGCAATATAAAAGTCATAACCATGCTGATGGACCTGCAGAGAAATAGGCAAAAGCTAAGGGATGATGTCTGGAGGGTGATAACAGAAATGAAACAGTCAATGGAAGCACATAACAGCAGCCTGGATGAGGTGCAAGAGACACTTAATGGAAGAGAAATCAGAGAACAGGAATACACAGAAGCTGAGGCAGAGAGAGATAAAAGGATCTCTAGGAATGAAAGATATTTAAAAAACTGTGTGACAAATCCAAACAGAAAAATATTCGCATAATAGGGTTACCAGAATGAGAAGAAGAGAGAAAAAGGGATGGAAAGTGTCTTTGAAGAAATAATTGCTGAAGACTTCCCCAAGCTGGGGAAGGAAATAGTCTCTCAGACCATGGAAGCCCATAGATCTCCCAATTCCTTATGAAACAGAAGGGGTTTGAACCAAGAATTCTGTATCCAGCAATATGATCATTCAAATTTCAAGGAGGGATTAAACAATTTCAAGATAAGCAAAAGTTGAGGGAATTTACATTCCACAAGCCACCTCTACAGGGTATTTTACAGGGACTTCTCTAGAGGGAAGTACTCCTAAGGCTAAATAGATGTCACCAGAGGAAATAAAATCACAGTAAAGAAATCAGACAAGAGGAAATAAAAAATCACAGCAAAGAAAGCAGACCAACTAAATACTAACTAAAGGCAAAAAATAAATTCAGCTATCCACAAAAGCAGTCAAGTGAAACACAAAAGAATACAGAATAAAACACCTAACATATAAAGAGTGGAGAAGGAAGAATAAGAATGAAGAGAAATAAAGAGTCATCAGACTGTGTTTATAATAGCATAATAAGTGACTCAAAGTTAGACGGTTAGATAGTAAAGAAACTAGCCTTAAACCTTTGGTAACCATAAATCCAAAGCCTGCAATGGCAATAAGTACATATCTATCAATAATCAGCCTAAATGTAAATGGACTGAATGCACCAATCAAAAGACACAGAGTAATAGAATGGATAAAAAAGCAAGACCCCTGCATATGCTGCTTAAAAGAGACTCACCTCAAACCAAAAGACATAAACACACTAAAAATGAAGGGATGGAAAAAGACATTTCATGTAAAAAATACAGAGAAAAAACAGGTGTTGCACTGCTTGGATCAGACAAAATAGACTTCAAAACAAAGAAAGTAACAAGAGATAAAGAAGGACATTACGTAATGATAAAGAGGTTAGTCCAGCAAGAGAATGTAACCATTATAAATATCCACACACACAACACAGGAGCACTGATATATATGAAACAAATACTAACAGAAATAAAGGAGGAAATAGAATGCAATGCATTCATTTTAGGAGACTTCAACACACCTCTCCCTCCAAAGGACAGATCAAGCAGACAGAAAATAAGAAAGGACATAGAGGTACTGAACAACACACTAGAACATATGGACCTAACAGACATCCACAGAACTCTACACCCAACAGCAGCAGGATAGACATTCTTCTCAAGTGCACATGGAACATTTTCCAGAATAGACCACATACTGGGCCACAAAAAGAGCCTCAGTAAATTTAAAAAGACTGAAATTCTACCAACCAACTTCTCAGATCACAAAGGTATAAAACTAGAAATTAGTTGTACAAAGAAAATGAAAAGGCTCACAAACACATGGGGGCTTAACATCAGGCTCCTAAATAATCAATGGATCAATGACCAAATAAAAACAAAGATCAAGCAGTATATGGAGACAAATGACAACAACGGCACAATGCCCCAACTTCAGTGGGATGCAGCAAAGGCATTTTTGAAAGTATATGGCAATCCAGGCCTATTTAAAGAAGAAAGAACAAACTCAAATGAATAGTCTAAAGTCACAGCTATTGAAACTGGAAAAAGAAGAACAGATAAGGCCCAAAGTCAGCAGAAGGAGGGACATAATAAAGAGTAGAGAATAAAGAAATAAAATTGAGAATAAAACAATAGAAAAAAATCAATGAAACCAAGAGCTGGTTCTTTGAGAAAATAAACAAAATAGATGAACCCCTAGGTAGACTTACTGAGAGAAAAAGAGAATCTACACACATCAACTGAATCAGAATGAGAAAGGAAAAATCATGAGGGATACCACAGAAATACAAAGAACTATTAGAGAATACGATGAAAATCTATATGCTAACAAGCTGAGTAATCTAGAAGAAATGGACAACTTTCTAGAAAAATACAACCTTCCAATACTAACCAAGGAAGAAACAGAAAATCTAAACAGATCAATGACTGCAATGAAATTGAATCGGTAATCAAAAAACCATCCAAGAACAAAACAGCTTGTCCAGATGGATTCACCACTGAATTTTATCAGACATTTAGAGAAGATATAATACCCATTCTCCTTAAAGTTTTTTTTTAGTAACTTGCAGGTTTTATTAAAATGAATCAAAAAAGAAAGAAAGAAAAGAAAAGGATAACAATACAACCCCAAATCCCAAAACTTTAGATTTTTTAGTGCAAGAAATGCTGGATCACTGAAGCACTTGAGAATTACCATGAAATCCTAGCAAAAAATGTAATAAAAAAGAGAAACACCCAGAGAGGCACACAGATTGTTGGTTTTGATTTTTTAAAGGATTTTTATACTATATTAAAAAACCACAAAATAAAAAAGGGATCAATCAACATTTATCTTAGAAGTCCTTCCAAGAGTCTTTGTACCCAAGAGCCATGGAGGCTGGCTGCTGCCATTTTCTTCTCTGCTCAGCTTTCAGCTCATTTAAGGGTCACTGGAGATGACTCATACTCTAGTTCTTAAAATCAAACTTGTTCTGCCAAATCCAAGACCCTGAATTTATCCAAATTGCAGAAACATGCTTTTACCACCTGTCTACCAAAATACCTCCCATTCAGGTCAACAACAGCTTTAATTGCTGATTCAACCCTCTCAAACTCTAGAAATATTCGTACTGCTTCATCATCAGGGGTACCAGGAATTTCAAATATCACACATTTCCCAACTTTGCCATATTTTTCACATTCTTCCTTGGTTTCAACTTCCAAGTCTTCATCTACTTCTCCTGCACCAACCATGTTCCTTAGTAGGGCCACCTTAGTAGGACACTTAAGAATTTCAGTTAATGGATTTGAATCTGACTTTTTGGATGCATCTTTCTCTGTGGAATCTCCCACAATGATCTTGCCTCCTCGTTTGCTTGTCTTCTCCACTGACAATGCTGTGCTCAGTCCTTGCTCATGCTTCCCAAGACCCTGGCCTTCCCAGAAGCCATACTTCTGTGTGATTTTATGTGCTACTGTGCCACCCATGTTGGCAAGGAAAGAGTTGCCAGGTCCAGTGAGAGATCTGGGTCTGTCCTGTTCTTCATACACTGGGGGAGGGATGGCAGCTTTGGAACACTGTGAGCGAGTTCTTGAGTCCTCTTCGTAAGGAAAATCTCGGGGTAACTCTTTGTCTTTCTCAACGAGAGAAGTGGGTGGCACGATGGCGGCTCCACCCATACTTCTTTTCCTCCTCTCTCACTCATAATCTTCGTCTTCATCAGAATCTGGGTCTGGTCGCCTTGAAAACCCACTAGCTTCATGTCTGTCTTTACGCCTCTTTTCTCTCTCTTCTATTTCTTTTTGCCTTTCCAGCTCCTGCTGTCTCTATCGTTCCTCTCTCTGGCGCTTCACCACTTTCTCATAGTCATTGAGAAACATAGGATCATATTCATCAGCTAAGGGAATCAAAACTTTTCCTGCAGAAAACCCACTGGGAACAGGATCCTTCAGGCCCACTGCCACGTGCGGTGGGGTGTCCACAATCTGCCGCTCATCCGAGGAGCCTCCCCGCTTTAGGTCAATTACTGGGACAAGGACTGAACTCTGTTTTGTCCTCTGGCTCTTGGCTTGAGTGAGAGCCACCTTCTTCACCTGAAGCTGAGACTGCAGAAGTTTGAAGTTTTTGGACCAGCCTTCTGTTTTTGAGTCACTGGTCTCCACTCCCAGATCATCATACAGGGACATTTTTTCAATTTAATGCTGGCCCGCCTGGCTAACTCTCCCCATGGGCTGCGGCGGCGCAGCTGGCCAGGTGCTGTGGAGAGGGCAGGCTGGGCACACTCAGTGGCGGCCCATGACACCCGACCCTGGGCCAGCGCCAACCCCTATGCCTCTCCTTAAAGTTTTACAAAAAATAGAAGAGGAGGGAATATTTCCAAATTCATTCTATGAAGCCAGTATCACTCTAATACCCAAACCAGGCAAAGACCCCACAAGAAAACAAAATTAAAGACCAATATCCCTGATGAACATACATGCAAAAATACTCCACAAGAGGACATTCAAGATAGTGGCATGAGAAGTGAGACAGAGAATTCATCCCAAAACCACAGATAGTATGAAAATGTGGTTAATTGATACAACTAACTGTAAAACAACAAGAAAGAAGTCTGAACCAGACTGCACAGAGACTTCATGAAACACGGTAACATACAGAAGCCTTAATCAGGCAGGACCCAAGTCCTCCCCCACCCCAGCTCACTGGCAGAAAGAAGGAAGAGAAATGGAGTGGGGGAGGGGGTGGTAGACTGGGACCGCTGAACACCCAGCTCTGGAGGTCTGCTTTGGGAGCAGACACCTACACTGTGTGGGGCTCTGGACATTGGGGAGCTCAGACAAGTGGAGCCCTTGAGTGACAGATTCTGGCCATTTGTGGAGGAGGGGATCCACACCCAGCCACTCTGGAGGAAGGGAAAGGCGGGCAGTCTGAGAGACTTCCTAGAAGGAAGAGGGCTGCTGAAAGAGCAGGGTTTGCATGGAGCTTGCTGCACAGGGGAGGGGAGAACTGGACAAGGTTGTCTGGGCATGCTCTGCCCAACTAGTTGGGAACTTTGAGGAGCTTCAGGTGCCCCATCCCCCTGGCTGCCTACTCAGTTCCGAGGGGCCTTCCTCCTAGTCTGCCGGCACCAGTTCACAAGCCTGCAGTCACTGTGCTGGCATCAGGCCAGCCAGAGGGAGGCCCTGCCTACAACAGCTACAGATGCAAAGCAAGGAGGCTTACACCTGTGTGCTTGGCCCACTGGCTCTGACACCAGAGACAGGCACCACAGACAGGAAGCAGGAAACAGATCTTTCCTCACCCCAGGCACCAGCTGTGCTCCCCTACAACCACCAACCTCAAGCAAAATAGACTTCAAAACAAAGAAAGTAACAAGAGATAAAGAAGGACATTACATAATGATAAAGGGGTCAGTCCAACAAGAGGATATAACTGCTATAAATATCTATGCACCCAACACAGGATCCCCTACATATGTGAAACAAATACTAACAAAATTAAAGGGGGAAATAGAATGCAATGCATTCATTTTAGGAGACTTCAACACACCACTCACTCCAAAGGACAGATCAACCAGACAGAAAATAAGTAAAGAGACAGAGGCACTAAACAACCTATTAGAACAGATGGACCTAATGGACATCTACAGAACACTCCATCCAAAAGCAACAGGGTACACATTCTTCTCAAGTGCACATGGAACATTTCCAAGAATAGATCATATACTAGGCCACAAAAAGAACCTCAGTAAACTAAAAAAAGATGGAAAGTGTACCAACCAGCTTCTCAGATCACAAAGGTATGAAACTAGAAATAAATTACACAAAGAAAATGAAAAATCCCACAAACACGTGGACGCTTAACTACATGCTCCTAAATAATCAATGGGTCAATGACCAAATAAAAACAGAGATCAAGCAATATATGGAGACAAATGACAACAATGATTCAACAACACAAAAATCTATGGTACGCAGTGAAGGCCTTGCTATGAGGGAAATATATTGCAATACTGGCCTACCTCAGGAAAGAAGAACAATCCCAAATGAACAGTGTAAACTCACAATTAATGAAACTAGAAAAGGAAGAACAAATGAGGCCCAAAGTCAGTAGAAAGAGGGACATAATAAAGATTAAAGAAGAAATAAATAAAATTGAGAAGAATAAAACAATAGAAAGAATTAATGAAAGCAGAAGCTGGTTCTTTGAGAAAATAAACAAAATAGATAAACCCCTAGACAGACTTATCAAGAAAAAAAGAGTGTCTAGACACATAAAAAGAATCAGAAATGAGAAATGAAAAATCACTACAGACACCACAGAAATACAAGGAATTATGAGAGAATAATATGAAAAATTATATGGTAACAAACTGGATAACCTTGAAGAAATGGACAACTTTATAGAAAAATACAACCTTTCAAGGCTAACACAGAAAGAAACAGAAAATCTGAATAGACCAATTAACAGCAAAGAAATTGAATTGGTAATCAGAAAACTACATAAGAACAAAATGCCTGTACCAGATCGTTTCACTGCTGAATTTTATCAAACATTTAGTGAAGAACAAATACCCATCCTCCTTAAAGTTTTCCAAAAAGTAGAAGAGGAGGGAACACACCCAAACTCATTCTACAAGGCCAACATCACTCTAATACCAAAACCAGGTAAAGACATCACAAAAAAAGAACATTACAGACCAATATCCTGGATGAACATAGATGTAAAAATACACAACAAAATATTAGCAAACCAAATTCAAAAATACATCAAAAAGATCATCCATCATGATCAAGTGGGATTCATCCCAGGGATGCAAGGATGAACAACATTCGAAAGTTCATCAACATCATCGACTACATCAACAAAAAGAAGGACAAAAACCACATGATCATCTCCACAGATGCTCAAAAACCATTTGACAAAATTCAACATCCATTCATGATAAAAACTCAACAAAATGGGTATAGAAGGCAATTATCTCAACATAATAAAGGCCATATACAACAAACCAACAGCCAACATTTTACTTAAAAGTGAGAAGCTAAAAGCTATTTCTTTAAGATCGGGAACAAGACAAGGATCCCCACTCTCCCCACTTTTATTCAACATAGTTCTGGAGGGTCTAGCCATGGCAATCAGACAACACAAAGAAATAAAAGCAGTCCAGATGGGCAAGGAAGAAGTCAAACTGTCCCTGTCTGCAGAAGACATGATATTGTACATAAAAAACCCTAAAGAATCCACTCCAAAACTACTAGATCTAATATCTAAATTCAGCAAAGTTGTGGGATACAAAAATAATATACAGAAATCTGTTGCACTCCTATACACTAATGATGAACTAGCAGAAAGAGAAATTAAGAAAACAATGCCATTCAAAATTGCATCAAAAAGAATAAAATACCTCGGAATAAATGGAACCAAGAAGTGAAAGACCTATACCCTGAAAACTATGGGACACTTTTAAGAGAAATTAAAGAGGACACTAATAAATGGAAATTCATCCCATGCTCTTGGCTAGGAAGAATTAATATTGTTAAAATGGCCATCCTGCCTAAAGCAATCTACAGATTCAATGCAATCCATATCAAAATACCTACAGCATTCTTCAATGAACTACAGCAAATAGTTCTAAAATTTATATTGAATTACAAAAGACCCCGAATAGCCAAAGCAATCCTGAGAAGGAAGAATAGAGCAGGCGGAATTACGCTCCCTGTCTTCAAGCTCTACTACAAAGCCACAGTAATCAAGACAATTTGGTACTGGCAAAAGAACAGACCCATAGACCAGTGAAACAAAATACAGAGTCCAGATATAAACTCAAGCATATATGGTCAATTAATATACAATAATGGAGCCATGGACATACAATGGGGAAATGACAGTCTCTTCAACAGCTGGTGTAGGCAAAACTGGACAGCTACATGTAAGAGAATGAAATTAGATTACTGTATAATCCCATACACAAAAGTAAACTGAAAATGGATCTAAGACCTGAATGTAAGTTATGAAACCATAAAACTCTTTGAAAAAAATATAGGCAAAAATCTCATGGACATAAACATGAGCCACTTCTTCATGAACATATCTCCCTGGGCAAGGGAAACAAAAGGAAAAGTGAACAAGTGGGACTATATCAAACTAAAAAGTTTCTGTACAGCAAAGGATAACACCAGTAGGACAAAAAGTCATCCTACAATATAGGAGAATATATTCATAAATGACATATTCAATACAGGGTTGACATCCAAATTATATAAAGAGCTCATGCAACTCAACAAACAAAAACCAAATAAGTCAATTAAAAAATGGGCAGAGGAGCTGAACAGACACTTCTGCAAAGAAGAAATTAGATGGCCAACAGACCCATGAAAAGATGCTCCACATCGCTAGTCATCAGAGAAATGCAAATTAAAACCACAATGAGATATCACCTCGCACCAGTAAGGATCACCACCATCCAAAAGACAAACAACAACAAATGTTGACAAGGTTGTGGAGAAAGGGGAACCCTCCTACACTGTTGGTGGGAATGTAAATTAGTTCAACCATTGTGGAAAGCAATATGGAGATTCCTCAAAAAACTAAAAATAGAAATATCATTTGACCCAGGAATTCCACTTCTAAGAATTTACCCTAAGGATGCAGCACTCCAGTTTGAAAAAGACAGATGCACCCCTATGTTTATCTCAGCACTGTTTACAATAGCCAAGAAATGGAAGCAACCTAAGTGTCCATCAGTAGATGAAGGGATAAAGAAGATGTGGTACATATACACAATGGAATATTATTCAGCCATAAGAAGAAAACAAATCCTACCATTTGCAACAACATGGATGGAGCTAGAGGGTATTATGCTCAGTGAAATAAGCCAGGCAGAGAAAGACAAGTATCAAATGATTTCACTCATCTGTGAAGTATAAGAACAAAGAAAAAAACTGAAGGAAGAAAACAGCTGCAGACTCACAGAACCCAAGAATGGACTAACAGTTACCAAAGGGAATGGGACTGTGAAGGATGGGTCGTAAGGGAGGGATATGGGGGAAAAAAGGCACATTACTATTAGCAGACATAATGTAGGGGGGGGCACAGGGAGGGCTGTATAACACAGGGAAGCAAGTAGTGTTTCTATAGCATCTTACTATGCTGATGGACAGTGACTGTAATGGAGTATGTGGTGGGGACTTGATAATGGGGGGAAGTCTAGTAACTA